AATCAGTTTTTCAAAACTATTTGCTGGATTTGGACTCTTTGATGATTCATCGGTCTTGCATTGCACTCTGCGAGATTAGATACAGGACCGTGACTATTTGAGTCCGAACTGTAGCATGAGGCCCATGGGCGCGTCTACAGTAGGCTAAGACGTGGATTTTGCCACCCTCAAGTGGGCTTAAGAAAACATGATTTTGCCACTCTCAGTGGGCTTAAAACTCGTATTTCAATGAATTGTTCCAATTCAAGTAATCTAACCTTCACCCACAGGCATTCAGGCAGTTATATCATATAAGTAGTTAGCCTCATGGCAAGCATGCTTTCATGGTGGCATTCACACTCATGCAGGATGCTAAAGCATAAAAAGCTTACCTAGTACTCCGAGCCAAAACAAAAGCTAGTTAGTAATCAATGCATGATCCTAGCTCATGTTAAGATGGCTAATGCAACGCATGCAAAATGCAAATAGAGAATAGGTGCTATTCTAAAATGTCATGTGAAATGCAACACTTGATACATGTATTCAAATAGGAAATTGAATACAATGCAGTTTGGTAAATAGAGATTTTTAGAAAGAAGTGCCAAACATGGACTGCTTTGCCAGATACAGAGTCGCCACCTAAATATTTATTTTGGGAGAATTTAGGAAACCCTGACTCATTGCCTAAGGCCACGTGTCCGTCATCACCAAAGTTACCTCAGCTCGGGAACTTGGGTACGATTGGGGAAGGTCAGCTATGAGCACCCCTGCTCGCCTGATCAAAGATCGGCCTCTACTAACCATGATATCGATTTTTGAAAACATTATGTGCTCTTATTCTGGTTTATTAGCCTAGAATTACTACGTGATGCCCACAGCAAAACAAGTATAGACTGGATTGCCTAAATTGGAACAAAGCATCATATATCCGTTTGTTTCGAAAAATAGATTGAAGTTTGCTACTCGTAAGTAGGCTAAAACACGGGTTTCGACGAATTATTCCAACTCGAGCAACCCAACCTTCACCCACAGGCATTCAGGCAGTAAATCAACTAAGCGGTTAGCCTCATGGCAAGCATGCTTTCAT